TGAGATAACAGCCGTTGTATAAAGTATAGGGCTTGAGATAACAGCCGTTGTATAAAGTATAGGGCTTGAGATAACAGTCGTTGCATAGCGTATAGGCCTTGAGTCACGCATTGTTTCATCGAAACCGCCATAAAGCTCAAACAAAACTTTGCTCTCCTAATTGTACCATATCCGGTTTCAGCAACATATCTAAGGATTGGGTCCCTCAACACTTCACCCACAATCCAAGTGAGTTCACTTGTTCCGGCGATAAACACACGCTTGTACAAATGCGCTCGGACTTTAGACCCATACACTCGCACAGTTGCCCGGGAATAGGCGATTGCATGATAAGCGACATGGCCAGCTGGAACAATTGTGGAATTCCAAATCCGCCGCGATGAATCGCAGCCCAAGAAAACCAGATCACGTACATCTTCCAACATATCACGTATAATAAAGCATGCAACATAGCATGCTATACGAGACAGATATATTCCACGCCTGATGGCCCACTTTGTTGGATTAATACATATAGCAAAAAGCAATCGTTTTCCGACGTCCCTCCAAACATATACGCAGGATCTTTTAATTGTGTTCCATGAATATGCACACGTTTTCCAAATGGCGTTGTATCCGAATATCAACGATTTCCAGATCGCTCTCACCGATGTTCGTAAAATTGACCGGATGATATACCAGGTGCCAAGCACGATAGTTTTCATTACATGCACGATAGTTTTCATTACAATACGCAAATAATTTCGCCAGAGCACAGCAAGTCCACGGGGAACTAATCTGATAACGAATTCGATCGTGTCCAGTGAATAGAATACACATTGTCGGTAAAGCTCCCATGCGATTCTCAGCGATATATATATCAGAGCGAATGGAAATACTATAACGTATACTAGTCGATTCTGAGAGGTATCTTCCAACGAGGCAGTCCTAGCATTACGACGGGTAATGTGCTTGTTACATCTATATGCGGGGTAATGAACGATTGCTACATATAAATAGAGAATAAATAGAAGTACGAGTATGAGACACGTAAACGTTGGCCTTGCGATAAACCACTTGTCCAGTTCACATTCGGTGAAGCACAGGACGAATGTGACATTGAGCAAGTTGTGGATATCAAAAAATGAAACATGAGTAAAATTAACAGGTGTAGACGTAGGAGTAGACGTTGGAGTCATCGTCGGTAATTATTTTTAGACTGACAGAAGTATAATTGATTCAAGTGTGAGTTGTGTATATAGGGCATGCTGCAACATATCCAGACAAGTGAACATTCTCTTATGTGTACAGGCTGATTATGATGTGGCTGTAAAATTGACCAGTAACATTTTGAAAAGTATAGTAATAATGATGATTCATAACTTATGGACTTGTTAATTTTACGTTCACTTTATCGTAGAATGTGATGAATGACGGGCTTAATAATAAAAAAATTATACAATATATATATGTAACTAAATCCACCATGGCAACCATTAGGAGTATTACTTCTGTAATTTTAATAAGTTCACGTTTTAGTTTCCTCAACCTCGATTTGAGCAGTCAGTTGACCATTTTGTTGCTCTTTTAAGCGTTGGTTTTCTTCTTTTAACTTAATCTTAGTGACTTCAGTTTCCAATTCTTTAATCCTTTTTATCTTTTTCTCACCTCATTCTTTTGATTTTTCATGAAATCTAGTTACTTCTTTTCTTTCAATGTTCAGCTCTTCCTGGCAGTTTTTAATGAGAGAAATTATTGTTTTCAAACTCTTTTTTACAATCAGCACAATATCTGCAGTGGAACCATCTTTCTTATGAAAATGATTCGAGGGACGTTTAGTATGTACAAAATCGACTTTCATTCTAAAATGCTTGCTCTCACAATAGATTACCAGAAGCAGTATAGTTTGAAAGACCATTATTGGTTCATTGTTATGATAGATTTTCAGTTCGATAGTTCCGACGTCTCAATGCCTAGCGTTTCTATTGATATTTGCCAATCTGGTTATCTAAAATAAAGTCTCTATAATACACGAACCTTAAATGACGTAATTAATAAGCGATCAATGAACATAAACAGTCGTGACTGTTGCGAGGAACGAACAGATGGAAGTCTCTGGATGAGATTACAATATTACGTAACATAGGATTAGCCTGCTGAGGGTTGTTGTATTAGACGCGCCAATTTCAATTTATCAGAAACAGGTTCGACTTAAAATTAGAAATATTTGTCAACAAATTTTGGCGTCTTAAACGCGAAAGAGATTATTGCCACATCCTACTATAGACGTAAAAGAAACTTTTCTTAGAGAACTTGGTTCGGATTAAAACTTACTGAATTTTATTAATCGAACTTTTGAGTTCAATTGTGAGGTCAGGGTTTGGATGTCAAATTTTTGGCATGGTTAGTATGTTGTATTCATAATATAACATACTTATTTGCAATCAAGCAGTCACTTCATACTCAGAAAGTCAAGTTTAATACATAAAGCTGACCGACAAACCAACTCTAAATATGTTCGATATTCAAGTATACCCCCAACTCCTCCCAACTTTAATCTCGACATTCCATCATCACCATCAGTTTTTATTCTACAATTTTTTCTGCTTGTTCCTTTTCCGCTGGTTTCTTTTCCGCTGGTTCATTGTCCGCTGGTTTCTTTTCTGCTTTTTCTGCTCCGCCCTTTCCACTTTTCTTTTTCTTTTTATTCTTCCTTAAGGGTGACGAAAGTATCTGCAAGACCTGTTCATCCTCAATCTTCTTATCGGATTGGATAACAGAAGGGTCGAAGTAAGTATTCGTGATTTTCAGCGGGCCGTTCTTGGTTAACAATACTGTAAAGAATACTTGTGCGACGTATTCCTCTATAACGTGTAAAAGGTATTGAGAATTAGACAAAGATCGTGAATGTTGACTTTGCGTAGACTGAACGTAACAAAAAGAAACAATACTGAACCCAGATATTGATAAACTGCTAGAAATTAATAACCGTACCTTCTTTCTCTTGAAATACATTATATGGCACTACTAATCCATGTTTCGAACACTCCACTATTCCCAACCTTGCCTTTCTTTCATCCGAGAGTGCCCGAAGTGGAAACGGAAACGTTCCAAACTTATTCGTTATCTCACTCAAAACTTCTCGAGCAGTTTTCATTTTGAGTAAATATGTCTCGCCGGTTTTCCTGTAAACCGTCGTCCGAACATTGGAAGGTTTTGGCTGTAATGTAGATTGGTTTGGGGAAAGAAAAGGCAAATGGCGAAAGCAATGAGTTGAATTTCATATCGATATGCATAAAGTATATATAAGTCTGAAACATTTTTACCTTTCCGTCGCCGGAAGAAATTAATATATCCACACCCCAGACTTCATTTTCGGCAAAGTTTGTGCTTTCGAAATCGCGTTTTTGTGCATCACTTGGGTTGAGGATTATTTGTTTCTTACCCTCGATTTCATTTTTTTCTTGCTGATGCGAAAGCATGCCTGGATTTACATATTAATACATTATATGTATATGAGTTTTCATGGAACGGCTTGTGTTTTTACATCATATGTCTTAAACCTTTATTAAAATCTTTCTCACATTCAACCAACTTACCTTCAACAGAATTAGTCCCGTAAATCTGTGAAATCTTTTGTATAGTCTGGGTGACCGTCATATTATTCAAACCCGGCTTAATCAACCTTAATGCGGCCTCGCTTGCATAATGCGCTGCGGTAATAACATCAGCTTGCACGCCCTTGACGGGGTTCTCATTCGATGCTCCAATAACAAGTGTCGTAGCAGTAATGGCAGCATATCCATCAATATGGGCACCAAGTTGAATCTTAACAAGATCGCCAGGTTTCAACGTATTCGACGCTTCAGGATCGGACGATAATGGTGAAAAATGGCATATTACGTTGTTCACTGATATGCACGTTGGGAAGGCAACCCCTGATTAAGAACGTACAAATGATATTAGTTGAGATGCAAAGAAAAAGAAAAGAGCATGCATACTCATATACAGACCCTTGGGTACTTTATTTTTAATGTAAAATGGTTTCACACCATCTTCTATCTCCTTGTCGCCAAGTACACAAAGATCAAGAATTCTTGCACCATTTACGCACGAAGTAATCAATTTCTTCATAGTGCCTATAAATTTAGACAAACGTAAAAAAGATGCGCGTCAAGGGATGACTTGATTCTTTTTTTTTCCCCTCCCGCACCATATTACAAAAATCTCGTTTATAGCCGATAGCCACAAATCTTTTACTGTCTTGGAGTAGTTAATGAGTTAAGCTATTCCATACGGCTGATGACACTCGATAAGTCGTCTATAAGACTATGCTATTATCCTCATGTAATATGCATTTATCAAGACTGGGAAAATTTAAACAGCTTTGTCTATTAATACACGATAACATTTATAACACGTACGGTTAGATATGTCCGCAGCTATCTTATATTTTGTAACCACATCCGAGTTTTCGATTGTAAGTATCTCTTCGCTATCACTGTCGTCAGCCATAGTTAGCGTTAATCAGACGAACTTGGGCTTTTCGCGCTGCGGCTTCTTTTTTCTTCCGAAATTTCTTGCTAATGTATCATCACGTGATATTTGTATTACATATTAACAGAATGTGTGCAATTACGTTCTTCTGAACATAATATGTAGAAGCAAACGTATCAAATACTCTTTTACGTAGGAAATGTGACGAGGCTTTGTTACGGAACAGACGTTTCTGGAAAAGTTGACATGTCGACTATCGTTATGCAAACAACAAAACTCAGCCATCAATCTTTTGAAATGCCCGCCAGTTCAATTAGGTGTTATTAAGATTACTAAACTAAGCTCTGGAGATTTAATACAACTTTGATTATAGGAATACAGCCATGTTATTGTAATTACAAAGCAGTCAAACCTGCATATATTATAATATGTTCATCATGACACTAGAGGACAAGACAGCAAGGTGATTAGGTTCCATAAGGTTTATATGCAGTAATTTAGTCAAGAAAAAAATACCTTATTATTCAATATAATCATCTCTTTCGTAAAGTCGTACTTGGCTATATGGAGCAAAATTGACGGTCTTTTTTGGCGTATTTCGATTAGACGTCGAATGTTTTAATATTCCCTTTCCGTCTCGTGCCTGACATGGGGTAACCTTCTTGTTAAAGAAACCGCTGATTAATATTCAATTTCATTAATATTAAGCAAAACCATAATGCTTGTTTCATCGTTACCTCAACCGGCTTCTCACAAGCCGTTTCTATTCGTCTGCACCTTTTTGCTAATTTCGCTAATGCTTTCCGTAAATCATTCTGTGTTCCTTCTGAAGACGGTGCTTGCGCACTTAGAATAGAACGACCAGCGACCAGCAGACGGAAACTCAGGCTCTTTTGATGACAGCGATTGGGGGTACTGTCTGATTTTGGCTATCAAAGAGCAAATGTTTAAAAGTTAACGACAACACCCATTCACATGATACACGAACCGTTTACAATAAACCTTAATGTTGGTGGGAAGAGAAACTTCTCGCGGTCTAACATACCTTCCTATAGTTCAGCTCTTGCGTCTTCTGAGGCGTACGCTCAATCTGTCTCGAGTTGGCCACTCCATATAGACCAAACGGTTGCTCAAATTGGTTTTTCCTAATATAAGTTGGCAACTTTGATTTGAGCTTTAATTCAGCCTCTTTTCCAGTTTTTAGCTTGGATTTCAGTTCAATCATTCCCTTTTTAACATTACTTCGTTCGGTAAGGATTATATTAATAGGTTCTCCGGAGTTAACAGTCGGCATTGTTGTAACAAGTTTAGTCGCAACTGGTGTCGTCTTGTTCTTGCTCGTGGGCTTCCTATTGTCATATGGATGAGACCGCCTACTGCAGCCAGTTGTTTGTATGATCTTTAGTTTCGGCATTTCTTGTTTAAAACTGGACCAGAAGTAAACGTCAAATTATAGAAAGATTGATTGGCGAGAGAGCAAGAACTGTAGGAGGCCTAAAGTTTGAAGGAGTCGGCTGCGTAAACGTTTTAAAAGACGCGTTTGTATTGTATTTCACGTGATTCGTATTACGATGGTTGCAAAAGTCGTTTATGCGAAGAAAAATTAAATTATAGTAATAGGAAAAAGTTTACTTATACTAGTTTAGCGCGTCTGACTACTTTAATATTTGCTTTACGTTTCATAAATTCAGAATACGGTGTTCGGGATTTTGTTGTCTGATACATCGTAATAAATGGGATTAAGATCGGGGCTCTATTCTGACCGTTATGTCAGAGTATGTCAATTTTCCCTTCATATTCAAGTCCTTCTATAAAGGAACGAACGATATTTCGCGACAACTCACACGTAGAAGTTGTTGATTTCTTTTTATCTCTTTTCATATTCCAAAGAAACATTTGAAGTCAAAATATATGTATGCGCCTGGGCATATCAGGATTAGTTTGCTGTCTCAACCAGGTGCAAATCTATCGGCTCTCCTTCACATTCAATAGCCAATACAACATCAACCACAGCGTCAGTTAATGCATCGGCAAGGTAGGTGAACCTTGGTACGGAGAAAAGTACGAACAACAATTCGCGGTCGATTGGTTGCTCGACTTTGAATTTATCAAAAAAAACCTGTGTTGAAAAAAATATATATATGTAACCCTACGTTTCTTTGAGACCTCAATTCATCATAAGTCGTCGTCGTTAAATTTGTGGTTCTTCTTGGTAAATTTCATAACCATTTTTTTCTTTATCTCTATTCCCGGCGATTTGGATAATTGAGTTTTAAAAACTTTTTTCTCTTTGTAATTATTCCATAGTGGATTTGACATAAATTGGTTCTATATTGCCTATTTGAAATGTAAAACCTTTTATCTCAACAAGTTACATTTCAATCCTAATATCAGATTAAAATTAAATTAGTCCGAATATTATCAGTTACAAAAATAGATCTGCATAAGTTATGAGATACAGATAATCAACCGATTTTCTGATGTTCTCATTTTAACAATGTTATACGCTGAGGTGGACGCGTCGACTGAACTTCAAAGAGAAAAAGAGACTTTAGTCAGTTATTTCTCATTATGCAATTTCATGTGGTCGGCAGGCTTTAGTAATTCCTCTTGTTCCTCTAGGCAAGGGAATTGCAATGGCTACTGGATACGGAACTTCCTCCCGTAATCCAAGACTTGGAAAAAGCACTAAAGGTGTCTTTCGCAACAACAGTCCTGTACATTATATAAGGAAATTTTGTCCAATTAAGACTGTCTTTATTTTAGAAATGTGACTCAATGATGAAAAATGAAAATGAGGGTAACGACCTTTTTCGAATAACAATCTTTACAAACTTTCTGATTTCGGAGATAACCGTTGCATGATTTAATAGAATCAGTCAGGAGTACGTTAGCGATAACATCTTCAAAGTAAGCACATATTCTGTATGCTTGCATTGCAATTAGCTACGAACTAATATCACAATATATTTGTAGTAGCGATGCTTTGAAAGGATACATTATGTCAAGCGGAAGTAACATCTACAAGGGAGTTAGTATAGTCATCCAACGGAGGATTGAAACTATTCATCATAGCAGCTGCCTTACTTTTTCCCCTCCTTTCCCTCCTTTAGGAACTCCAAATTAAACTTCCGAACTATAATCGCGGTAATCTGGTCAAGGCGACTATAAATTCTCAGAAACCCTACTTCATCGATCAGGTGCATAAGCCTGTATAGATGCCTTTCATTACGGTTGATAAATTAACTCATTTAATTAAAATGTTAGCTGGGTGATGCACAAAACTATCTTATTTTGACGTTGGATCTATTAGAGTCTTCTCATGTGCCGTACACAAAACAAAGCGCGATGGAGGTTAGTAAGCAGTGTGTGTGGTTATCAAACGAGTATTTATAATTAGCTAACTTATGTCACATGAAGCTGCTGAACGATGTCATTAAATATGTCAGCAAGAGTAGATCCGCTTTGACCAGTGCAAATGAAGGAAATCTCTTCCCTTATAAAATATGTGAATCTCAAGTATTTATCAATTTTGTTTAACAAATTATCTTGTTAAATACTTTACACTAATCGCTCTGTACCTTGCTAGGTATTCAATTCAGCATTACCAGATGACCTTGTAATAGAGTTTCACGTAGAAGGCGCGGAGATTGTAACCAGTGTGTACGCACTACAGTATCATGCATCCTTACCATCTCATAAACTCAATATATTGAGTGCACACAAGAATCACAAATATTAGTATCCTTTATATGCTTCATTATGTTTGACATAAATTAATTAAGGTAATATTTCTTAATCACCGCTTCTACATGTTTGTAGTAAATACAAAGACATCTACGCAACTGTCATTGATGAAATTGTCGTCCGCTCACTTGATCCAAGCCTGGAAGAAATTGGAGCAAAACTGAAGGAAATAGAGCAACAATGTTTGTCTTGGAGGAAAAAGATCACTGTGTTATAACACTAAATAGATATAATATATTTAAAACAATACAATTGGTTATTCATCGCCGGATGAATCGTCTTCTTGCGTATTTATCACTTCGTTTGCGCTTAATGCATCGTGTCTAAACGTTTGCGTAGAAATTATGATATGAATGATAAGCAACATCATGTCAAACGTTCATTATCACATTAAAACAATTCGCTACCTTATTAATATTTCCTCGATAACATTGGCATCGAATTCACGTTCTCCAATTTCATCGGTTACTTTAACCAAATTGGCAATTAGTTTGCCATTCTTGTATGCTAGCAAGGCAGGTAGACCAATAATGTCGAATTCAACTTCTCGCGCTTGCACACGAAGGAATTTCACACTGATATACTTTCGCGCCAAATGTGCCAAGCATTCGTTTAGCACACGACATTCTGGAATCTCCTTATTACGAATGAGAACTAATTTCGGTAAGTCTACGACATGGATAGAATTGGACTTCATTATTATCAAATCTTACGTTTTCATACAAGTGTACTATTACAGAGACATCTGCTGCTTCGTTATCGATAGATTTGACATATTGACTTGCTGCTATCTCTCGCAAACTACCAAACAATGGCCCGGTTCGTCTCCTCAATGTTGCCTTCTGAATTTCCGACAATCGCTGCTCCCTATACCGACGTAGTACCTCTTCTTCATCGTCCGAACTCATATTCTCTAATTCTTGCAGTGAATTCTCGTCGGCTTCTTTATTGGCTTGATCTTCACGATAAGTCGTAGTCGTTGGAGCCCTTGAAAGCATTCTCCTGTTGTGAGCGCTAATTTCGGCTGCTTTGCGTTCTCTTTCCTTTCTCATGTAATGAGCATGATCTGCCAAGACACCTTTTGGTCCTGTTTGTGCGCCTCCATGTTGTGACGGGACGGTTATTTCCGTCTCAGCTTGCTACAGAAATCGACCGTATGAGAAAAGACAACATGCGGCAAACGTAATGATCTTGATGACTTCTTACATTAGGTGTTGAGTCTTCTGTATCAGAATTACCAGATTCGTCTGACCTCGTTGGCTCCCTGTCATCATCATCCAAGGAGGTTCGAAGCATGCTCTCAATGAGAGGATCCATTATTCAAACTAAAAGAAGTTAGTACCACAAATTCCAAGAAATATTGCAAGAAGTTTAACGTTAATATCTCCCTATTTAGATGTATGATCGGCAGGAAGAAAAGGAAATGATGAACGTTTGCCATTTAATCTTAATTAATTAATATTAATAAGTTACCTACAGTTTTTCCCACTAATTAAAAATTTTCGATAAGTCGGCCAATTTTCGAAGCCGCCAACAACGATAAGGCAGTCTCACGTGACAAATGTTAAGAAACATCAATTAATTTTGTATTAATATAGTCCACATATATAAGTAAGTCTGCGGGTTGTTTTCGTCATTCGAGTACCGTCACTTATTACGAAATGCTAAAAACTCTTCCATATTTCGATAGCATGTATTTCCTCCTTGGCCAGATTTTCGGCTTGAACCGAGATAAGATAGTCCTGATATGCGTCAGCTAAAACATGTAAATTATAAATGGCTCTAAATTTTACGCGCAAAATATACACTCAATAGTTTAGCTCGCAAAATTATTTAATTTTGCGTGCTCATTATCGATTTAGCATTTGATTGTTTGTATCTGTATACAGTGAAAAAACAACAACTGGATTTTTTTTCAGTAAAGCAAGTAATTATTAGACGGGTTAAAATGAAATTTGGGGTCTCTTTAATGTATCTGAAATTTACATATACTCTTCTATTAGCAAAGTTACCCTTAATCCTAACCCAAATTTCAAACGTTTTATTGAAATGGAGAGATTTTATTTGTCACAGTTATGTCGCTTTGACTAATAATGTGCCAGATTTTACGTTAAAAGCATACCGGAATGCTAAAGAATGCTTGACGACCTTTCAATTGTCTAAATATCGACTGATGTGCGGCGTGTTGCAAACGTCTATGATGGTGTGAAACCGTATTTTTGAAAGCACTCATAATTAGTTTAGCGGAAATCAATGCGGCACGTTGCGAGATCATAATTGAGAGTGAATTTCTCACCTACTGTATTTACTATCAAGTGAATTCAGTATGTTTTACTGTATCTTCCAACAAGTCTTGTTAAATCGCTGAGGAACAATGGCAAAATCAAAATATTCTGTAAGGCCTGCCATTAGCAACATGCAAGAAAGAGATAAAATAATGGAGTGTAAAAATTTCTGTTATGTTGATATCCTTTTGGTAAAATATTAAGTTTGTTAAACTCCCTTTGCCACAGCAAGGGGTTGGGGTTTCTTCGTTAAAATGGCGGCACGTACATTAGTGGATATTATATTCGACCATTATTTTTAGAATGATGAGCGCGACGTGAATACAATCAGGCTTTAATTGACAGAAAGCTGATTAAGAATATGTCTATGATTAAGACCATACACGATGGTGCGAAACAAAATAGATAATGAGGCGTACGCAAACTTGGTCGATTCGAAGTCCGGGAGAATGATGGGCAAAAAAATTACGCAGATTTATGAACAATTGACGGTGTGAACAATATTACACTACAGCTTCCCAATTAATTAATATACGAAGGTCTTTTATAGTGGTCTCTGTAAACAAATTTTTCTGTTTGTTTACTGCACTTTCTTTCTTTTATAAAGATGCTTAACGCGAAGCTTGAAGCTCAAAAACAACAATTAAAATAATGACAAAAATTCCGCTTTGTAATGTCAGAAAAACGAGAAAACTGACAAATTGAGTTACACAAATAAATAACTCGTGTCTAATGGCCGTCTTATTCTATAAATATTAGCGTTATGGATGGTTTCCTTTATTCTTACATGAAAATATTTTGATATTTTAAGTCCAGCTTCTGCATGGTAAAAGCTGATGTTTGCAATGGAAATCATTACTAATAATGTTGAAAACCACTGACGTGTTTATGACCGAGATTGATAAACAAACTTATTAATAGAATGTCAGATTATAATTTATTATTAGATAAACTTTTAAATATGCCTAAATTTGTTTCATTGATTCGCAAGACATGTTCAGCGTCCGTTTTCTCAACTCATTGTGTGAATGAATAATACGGAATGTAATATCAATATTCTAAAAATGCTCTGATGCGAGTTTTGTCAGGTGATGAGCTACATCACATGCTCAATCCCCTCCCCCCCCCCCCGCATTAATAACCTACTTAAAGAGCACTGATGTCATTGATGATATCACCGTAAATCCCACACTCCCATACTAATATTAATACTCTTAACTAATGCTAATTCTCTATACAACCTAAACGGGCCATTGAAAAAGTTCTATGGACTTTGATTCCGCTCACGATTCAGACTCGCAACCGTTGAGCGACGCTGTAACGGGAAATTCAGAGTCAAACACAGAGTACACTGACAACAGCAGACCAGACGTAGCAACTTCACGGGCACGACAAATTATAGCCAACACTAACCCGGTTCGTCGTGCGTCTTTCGCACCTTCTCGCTTGAGTGCTGTTTTTGATCCCAATGTCATAAGTACCTGGTGGAATGCTGTCGGTGGTCAGCAAGATACAACAAAGGCTCAGAGAAGGGCAACGGTGATTGACTATAATAGTGTTAAGACTGGATTGGGAACTATTCGCGGTGACATTTCTCTGCTTGCTAGTGATGTTGTGGACGAAGATCTCGATTCAATCTTTGCAAGCTTCTTGGTAATGAAATTTAATTGCTTTTTATGGTGCATTCCTTCATTGCTTTGCCAACAAGATGATCACTTACATTACTTTGTAGGTTGATTTGGGATTACCTGAACACGCGAGGATGAAGATGATGTCAATGCCTGATGATCAAAAACGATTGATCCTTCATTCGAATGAACAAGCTCAAGCATTCAGGCAACAGCGTCTCGACCGCCAACAAGAACAAATACAAAACCAGTCTAGTTTTGGCTTGAGTAGTTCGGAATCGAATACCGACGATTTGACTTCCCCAAAAGATGCACAATTAAATCAGTCCGCTATGACAGGTGAAAGCTCACACAATAATGATGCTGATCCGAACACGAAGTCATCCCATAGACTGTCAGGTGGTTCATGGTCGAGTGTAGAGTCCACCTCTCCAACATCTTCACAACCTACAAACGTCCAGGAAGAACGCCCACTATCGCCAACATCATCCAGCGTTGCTAGAGGATTTCTTAAATATTGGTTTGGATCATTAACATCTTCAACAAAATCTCAGGATACTCCCGAGTATTACATTGGAGAATTAACGCAAAGGTATTGATTGTGAGCGATTTTTTTGAATGACAGATGATAGTTATGGTTAACTTTATATTGCATTACGCGTAGGAATACGCAACAGGTACTTGCAAATCGATTGACATCACTACGAGTGACTTTATCACATGTTAAGATGGCGTGGATTAGGTCTTTTCTAGACTTAAATGGTTTATCAGTGTTGGAGGCAATTCTGGAGAAGCTTACTGACCTCAATAAGAACCGGTAAGTATGTGGACATAGAACGTCCGTCTATTAATTGCAGTTTTGCTTACTGCGCTTGTAAATTAGTGCTGCGAAGCGATCCGATCACGACGATAAAATACAAACAGAATGTATAAGATGCTTACGAGTATTAATGAACACAGAGGTAATAGAATTTTCATAGTATTCGATTAAGCTACCGAAAAATGTATAAGGATATGCTCACTATTTTCATCATTCAATTAATATAAGCCTGGCTTTGGTAGAGTAATTCAATCTCCCTCTCTCATCTCATGCATAGTGTTCTCTCTAAGTACACGAAATCACAAATTGCGTGCTCAAGTGGCAGACGTATTGGCTGCGTTATGTGTGCTATCCCTTGAGGGTCATCGCCTGGTTCTCAACGCATTATCTGATTTCCGTAATATACATGAGGAGAAGTACCGTTTTGAACATTTGGTAGAGACACTAATAAACCATTTAAGTCTAGAAAAGACCTAATCCACGCCATCTTAACATGTGATAAAGTCACTCGTAGTGATGTC